GAAGCAGAAATGCAATTTACTTTTTAATAAACCTTAAGAGGAAGTCAATATATCACCGGGAATTCTCTTTTTTCAACGGGATAGTAATTAAAGCTATATATTACTGGAAGCATTAAAGATTTAATACACTTTTAGGTGTGTTTATAAAGCTTATGTTTAATCTTTGGACTCGCAGCAAGAGCCTCAAGAGTGATTTCCCCACCCTTTTTTCTCCCTCCCTCCCCTTCTCCCCGTGTCTAAGGTATAGGGAATGTTTGCAAAGCCATGGAAATGGAGCAACATTTAAACCTCATTAGCTGTAATTCGTATAATTAGCATGTTTGATAAATTTGCCTTCAACTAAACACGCAGAAATAAAGGTTTCATTAAGAATGATGAATATTTATGGAGGTTTTTTTCACCTCCTACCTTTGCTTGCTTTACAAATGTTTGCATAGGAAGACACTGGGTTGCTTTATAATAAAGGAGAGGAAAAAGGAATCTAGAATATTACGTGTATAATTTGCAGAGTACAACTTCTAGTCTAGAAAAATTTAGTTCACAGACATCACAGAAAGCCAGGAATTTTTTCCATGTCCACACAGGAATGGTTTAAGTGGAAAGGGAGATGTTTGAGAGGGAGGGTAAAGGTGAGGAGCAACTCCCAGCATGTCTAGATGGAGCCTCCAAGGTTTCTAATTTGAATGCCACAACCCCTTTGTCAGCCTGCCACTGGCAAAACATCTGATTTAAATGAGGGGTTGACTCAGAAATGCCGAATTTAAATGGATGTGTGCTCCAAAGTGGGAGGGGGATAACCCTGGAATGGGGGAGGGTGCTGGTCCTCATAGACATGGAAAAGAGCAGCAGGTTAAAGGGGAAAAAGAAACCACATCAAAAGCCAAGTTAAGGGCAGAGCTGGCAGAATAAACTCGTGCCCGTGGTGCAGGTTTGTGGTTTGGATGTGGCTGGGAATTACTTGCAGAGGATTTACCTCTCAGGGTGCCCCTGAGGAAAACGAAGATATTCCGCTCCCGTGCAGGAATTCTTCTTAAAGGACTTCACACCTCCATTAGAGATGGTAAAAAAATAACCACCAAAACCAAGGGAAGGTTGAAAGCACTGTAGAGAACAAGTTTTCAAGTTACTTTTGCACTCCAACAGGAGTAGGAACTACTGAGTAACTCCTCAGGCCAAGGCTGGGGGTGTTTTACAACAGTCTTTTGCTTCCCACCGGTGCCAAGGAAACCACGAGCCCAGTGTGTGGCAGCACTTTTGACAGTAAATACAGCATTTTTTTCCATGTTCTGAACCCAAAGAAGCTTCCCCATCAATATTTTGTGCTTCTGGCTTTAAAGTTTTTAGGGTTGTGTTTGGTTTTTTTGGTGTTTTGCAAAGTGGAGCGACTTCTGGTTCGGTGCAATGTTCTTATGGGGTTTCTTGAACTGCTTGTTGTCCTCCTGTGTTTTCAGCTGCAGTCCTTTCCAGCTGAATTTCTCGGGATAAAATTGGAATTCTGCCTGGTTTGTCTCAAACACAAGCTCACAAACTGCTACAAATGCAAAAGCACTGCTGAGTTTGCGCCGTGAGGTGACCAGGAGGAAGGGAACAGAGGGTGGTTCTAACTCAGGGGGGAAAAAATAAAAGACTTTAATTCTTCTATGATAAATTAGAGGACATCAGAATAATTTATTGGTGGGTTTTAATGCTTTTTATTCATTATCAGACTCTGTGTAGCCTGTGAATTGCTCATCTCATCCCCTGCTGTAACCCAGGCAGCTCTTAAGCCCATCTGTTGTTTTCTTGTGAACTCTGGAAATATCTGCTTTATGCATCAAGTCTGTGACTCCTTTTCGTTCATTTTCTGCTTTTAAACGTTCAGGATTAACCATAAAAAGCAGCTGTGAGTTCATTTTCCCTTCCTAGAGCGTTGTCTTCAGGGTGAAAACGACTTAAAAGCAAACTTGTAAGTAAAATATAAGTGGTAAGTCGAGTGATGGGTGTGTTCATCCTGGCAGTATTAAAAATTTTAGCTTAATAATAATAATAATAATAATAATAGCTGGGATCAAACCTTTGGAAGCATCAATATGGAACCAACTGACAATGGGATCCCATGGAATCAGTGAAGAGGAACCTGGATAATTGAGGGGATGTCATTTAGGGTCATTCCAGGTGAAGAGATGGAATTCCAGAGTGGAAAATTAAAAATCATGGAATACTGGAATGGTTTGGGTTGGCTGCCTGGCTTTGTGTGACCCAGGAAAAGCACAGGATGGGAAGAAAAATCTTTGGGAAAGGGGGTGTTTCCCACCTATAATAAATTTTTAAAAGTCACTTTTATATTCTTGTTGAGAACAGAAAGGGGTTTTTTTGAGCTTTTCCATGATATTAATGCAAATCTGCCTTTTTTCATTGATTGGAAAGAGGAAAAGGTTTAAACCTTCCTATTCCTGCTTGGATCAAACCTTTGGAAGCATCAATATGGAATCAACTGACAATGGGATCCCATGGAATCAGTGAAGAGGAACCTGGATAATTGAGGGGATGTCATTTAGGGTCGTTCCAGGTGAAGAGATGGAATTCCAGAGTGGAAAATTAAAAATCCTGGAATGATTTGGGTTGGGAAGGACCTTAAAGATCAATAAATTCCTCTGCAGAGGTTCATATCACACAGATATTCTGGAATTACCCTGCAGAGAAAAAGGATAATATGAGCAAAAATAGGGTTTTTTTTTCCTTCCCCACAGCCTGGCATGGAGCTGATAATTAGATCTGTAATTAGTAACACACAATAACAGTTGTTTTGTTTATTTGGAAGTAATTTGTAATCCCCTGTCTACAAAAGGAATGTTAATTAATCCTTTGATGATCTCAGTGGGTCCCTTCCAGCTTCAGGATATTCTGTGATTCCCTGATTCATTTTGACACCTTTTCTGCCAACATCCCTTGGAAGAGCTGCCTGGGCATGGGAGAGAAAACCTCAATACACGGAGCAGGAAGGAAAAATTCCACCAGGAAGACTGAATTATTATTTTGAAATAACGTAGAGTTGACACATTTTGAAACTGTTTCACTGATTTTATTAATTGTTGGAGTGGATTGAACTTTTTCTCACCATGAAACTTTTTCATCTCCCGTTTTTCCCCCCCCCCTCAGCCTGGAAAAAGCTGTTTGAACCACATTTCCCACTGATTTTTCTCTTTTATTTGGGTAAAATCCGTGTTTTTAGCAACAATTTCCTTTTGAAGGGCTGCACTTGGGGTTTAGAGCTGCAGTTGCAAAAACTGGGGGAGCAGCCAGAAAGATATTTATTATATTTATTATATTTATTATATTTATTATATTTATTATATTTATTATATTTATTCATTTATTTTCCCAGCACCTCCCATTGCTCCCCAGCAGTTTTATCTTGCAGCAGTGCTGCCTTCTGAATTATAAATATAATAATTCAGAATAATAAAATAATAACACTACAATATTTTAATAATAAAATAATTTAATAATATATAATACAATAATATATAATATATAAAAATTATATATAAAATATATAATATGTAATATATAATATATACCATATGTATAATATTAATATATAATATATACCATATATAATATATATTATATTAATATATAATATATAATATATACCATATATAATATATATTATATTAATATATAATATATAATGATATAATAATATATAACAATTTAATAATAATATATAATATATAATATATACCATATGTATAATATTAATATATAATATATAATGATATAATAATATATAACAATTTAATAATAATATAATAATAATAATATAATAGTTTAGAATAATACAATTCTGAATTTTATATACATAAATTCTATAGAAACATAATGCAGAATAATAAAATTATAAATAGAATTTTCATATTATGAATAGAAAAATTTACAAATATAAAAAATAAAAATAAAACAGCTTTCAAAAAAAAAAAAGAAAACACCTAGAATATAAAACAACTAAAAAAATCCTAGTTTTGTCTCTCCACGTGCAGGACTTGTTGCCTCATAAATTAAGATGTTTGTTGACTCTAAATTCAAATCTCACCATTTTTCCCCTTCCTTTCCTCATCCATAAACTTGGAAGCAGCAAATCTTGTCCTGCACGTGTTGGGGAGGAAGATGCTGAGTTTTACAGTGTAACTGGTTATGGGAAATGTCATAAATTTGTGTGTCAAGCCCTAAACCCATTCACAGGATTTAAACCACAAACTCTTCCAGGGGCTGAATCCATCAGGCAAGAAAAATTCCAGTCATGCTGTCACTGTCCTGTTTTGTGGAATGTGGATGGGGTTGGGAAGAGATCCCAAAAATCTTAAGGAGCTGCACAACAAATTTCAAGCGATGCATTTACGGAATAGAGCAAAGCACAGCCGAGAAAAGGAGGAGATAAATGTATTTTCCTGGCTCTGAAGTCATCGTAGGATTTTACAGCTCGTGAGCAGAATAAAAGGGAGGAGGTTTAATCCGAGAAGAGATAAGGATGAATTTTGCATTGAGATGAAACAGCGCTTTTTAACTCCAAATACTTTGTCACGGCGTAATTTGTGTGTGTGTCTTTGCACCCAGCAACTCTTTGAATTCAAAAGGCTTTTCAGAATTGCGTTAAGTGCTCTGTTAATGTGCAAATGCTGCAACTCCCAGCTCCGGGTAACAGCAAATGAACCCAATTATGATAATTCTCCTGCAGCTTCAGCACTTTTTGCTCTGTGTATTTATCATTTTGTGTTCAGCGGGTGCCACAAAGAGCAGAAAGCAAAGTCTGTCCACCCACTTTCATCTCTCTCGAGCAAAGGAGTGAATTGAATTAAAGCATTGAATTATATCACGAATCCCAAATTCGGGGGAGAAACTCTGTATCCAAACTCCAGGGAAAAGTTTTTTCCTGCTGATTTCCTCAGCCTTGAGAATAAACAGCGCTCAGTCTTTCTCTGGGGTTCTTCTCTGAAACATTTCACCTGCTTTGGGAAAGAAGAACCCCAGTAAAACACCTTTTTTTTTGCAGTAGAAGATTTGTGAAGAGTTGCATTTCATGCTCATCTGCACAGTTATATAAACGCTCAGCAAAACTGCACAGGAATTATCTTGGTGAGTATTTTTATTCTTATTATTGCAGTTTCTTCCTTCCTGGATAAAATATTTCCATACGTGGTGTAAGAACTTTGAAAGAATTGAAATATGCCAAAATCTTTTTTAAAAGCCCTGTTTTATAGAACAGAGATCTTTCCCCAGCTGATGTCGGGCATTATCTGTGATATCTTTATTTTAAGCTCGTCACAAGATGTACTGATGCCTCACACTTGGAACAAATTTTAATTCTCCTCTTCAAGAGGAGGAAACTTGAGTGAAAGTGAAGATTTCGGGTCAGAAGTGGAACTTTGATGTTGCCTTTTGTTTCGAGTCTTATTTTTCCTGAGAGATTTGCAGGAATTTTCCTGCCCTTTCTGCTGGAAAATTCCAGCAGCAGCTGGTAACTGGGAGAGGGGGCTGAGTAAGTGACAGGCAGGGTGATGCTCCTGTCTTTCTCAAGGCTTCCCTTATAAAATCATGGAATGGTTTGGATTGGAAAGGACTTTAAAGACCACTTCATTTCAGCCCTCTGTGACGGGCAGGGACACCTTGCACTGGACCAGGTTGCTCCGAGCTCCATCCAACTTGGCCTTGAACACTTTCAGGGCTGGGGCATCCACATCTGGGCAGCCTGATCCCTCCTTTCCCGGGATTCCCTGGATATTCAGGATTTGCGGGCTCACAGGCCCCGCTACCTCCTGCCTTCCGCCGCGTCAGCGTTGCCAAGCAACGCCTAAAATGGCGGCGCCCTCGCAAGGCACGCCGGGAGTTGTAGTCCAGCGCCTCGCCGCCCCCGCGTCCCGCCCGCGGCGCGGGACTCGCTCTCCCATCACGCTCCGCGGCGCCGCGCGAAGGGCCGAGCGAGCGCATTTACCTGCGGGGAGCGGGGCACAGGTGGGGCGAGCCGCGGGGGCTTCTGGGAGTTGTAGTTCAAAGCGGAGGGCCCTCTAAGGGAAGTGGGGCGACGGGCGGCGGCCGCGGGACTACAACTCCCAGGGGGCAGCGGGAGCGGCGGGCAGGGCGCCGGCGGAGGGCGGGGGGTACGAACGGGAACCTCGGCGGTGCTGCCGCGGTGGGGGCTCAGGTGAGACTGCAGGTGAGGAGGGGGAGGAAGAGGAGGAGGCGGGAGCGGGCACGGGAGGTGACCCCCGGGGCGGGCGGAGACCCCCGGGCGGTGCCCCATTGTTCGCAGGGTGCCGGGGTGGGATTGGGTTTGCCGAAGGGGGCGAATTCCTGGGGGGAAAAGCCCCCACCCCGATGCTCTGGCTGGGGAGGGCGGAGGTGGTTTGGGATGAGGGTGAAGATGGGGAGAGTCGCCCCTCGCTGGCTCCTGGTGCGTTTGGGAACGAATCCCCTCCTTCTCATCACCCGCTAAAACTCTGGATACTTTATTTCCTAATAAACCAAGTCAGTTTTAACAGGATTTTTTCTCAACCTGAGATTTTTGGGGTTGTGGGCAATTGGTGTAACTGGTTTTGTTTCTTTGGGGGTTTTTCGTTTTGTTTTGTTTTGTTTTGTTTTGTTTTTCCCCTAAACTTCCACCCAATACACGCCTCAATAACACTGATTTTTGTTGCACCCTTTTGGAATAAAAAAGCCCCCAAACCCCTAAACAGGCCATACAAACATTGGGGTTGCTCAGCTGGGAGAAGAGGAGGCTCTGGGATGACCTAATTGTGGTCTTCCAGTGCCTCCAAAAAACATGGAGAAGGGACTATTTACAGGGGCTGGAGCTCCAGCCCAGGGGGGAACGGCTTCACCCTGGCAGAGAGTAGGGTTAGGTGGGATATTAGGAAGGAATTATTTACTCAGAGGGTGGCCCTGGCACAGGTTGCCCAGAGAAGCTGTGGCTGCCCCATCCCTGGGAGTGTCCAAGGCCAGGTAGGAACACCCTGGGATAGTGGAAGCTGTCCCTGCCCGTGGCAGGGGGTGGGACCGAATGACTTTGAAGTTCCCTTCCCACCAAAACCATTCCACCATTCTATGATATGTCCCTTTTTCTAGTCTTTCCCTGTAGCGTATTCATTCCTGCTCTGGGTTTTTTTGGGCTGCAACAACTGTTGTAACAGCAGTAAATGGTGGTGTTAATGAGTGTTTGCCCAAGGCAGGTGTGCCTTGAAATAAAAACAGCTTTTGCAGCAAAGCCTGGCTTAAGGTAGATCCCCCTTGGAGCAGGAGGTGTGTGGGTTTAATTGCTGGTTGCATAATCCTGGGGATGGAGGGGTAGGACGGGGGTTCTTTTCACTGGGGCACGTTCAGGAAGCTGGAAAAACGAGTCCTCCTTGTGCTTTAACTTGATAAAAGATTGTTCTGTTCCCTGTCTGATGTTCTGCCACTGCAGGTTTGTTGGGAAACAGTGGCAGTGGCGGGGAGGAATTAGCAGCTAAACCACAAACCTCGGGGGTTTGGGGTTCCCCGAGGAAGATGCAGAAGGACTCCTGTGTGCCTGTGAGCTGGTAAGTGAGAGTTTAAACTTTTACAGCCCTCTGAGACTGCATTTTGACCTTTCCTGCTCTCAGGATTAATTCAGGGCTCATCAGAATTAAGAAGGCTTTGAGTGTGGAACAGTTTCAAACTCTGCTGAGCTGAGGGAATTACAAAACCACCTGAATTTCAGGTGAAGTTTCTTTTCGTTGCCACCTTTTTCCAGGTACCTGAGGGAATCCCCTTGCTCAAAATAATAACTAAAAAACCTCCAGCAACACTTGAAGCAAGAAAGATCCTGCTAATACAGCAGAACTCATGGATACACAGAAACTGCAGGCAAAGAGATAAATTAAAGGAGTGGGAGGAAGAAGTCTTCCAGTGCTTGGTGTTGATGAATTGTTTGTGTTCCTTTTTAAAAGCAGCCAGAGGAAGAACTCCCTCAGTGGCTGTGTTTCACTGGGGGGGGTGTGTGTGTGTTGTGGAGCTGACAGTGATTTGAGGTTTGCTTCAGCTGGGAAAACCGGGGTGTGAAATCCTCGTTCCCATCGAGGCGCCTGCGTTGGCTCCCGGAACACAAACACTTCCCAATCCGGGCTCCTCTGCGTGCGTGGCATTCTCCCTTCTCCCACAGTCCAGAGGGAAAGCCCTGCCAGAGGAGAAATGTGTTTTATGCTAAAGAGCTCTGCTGGGGGTGTTTGATTCCTGAGAAAATTCGTGGATGGTGGAATGGTGGGATGGTTTGGGGCGGGAGGGACCTTAAAGCTCAGCCCATTCCACACTTTTCCAGCCACTTCCAGCCCGGCCTTGGGCACTTCCAGGGATGGGGCAGCCCCAGTTTCTCTGTGCCAGGCCCTCCCCACCCTCCCAAGAAGGAATTTTTTCCCAATTTTTACTCCCAAGCTGCTCTCATCCTTCATTTCAAAGCTGAACCTTCAGCTCCTCTCAGCCACTATCCCCGGATATTGAATATCTTGGAAGGCTTTAGGGCTTTTTTTGCCTTCTAAATTTAAAATTAGGCCCTAAAATATCGACACTTATCTTTGATTGGGGCTGGGAAGCAGGAAAAGAGTCGTGTCCTTTCCATGGTTCTGAACAGTGAGGCCAAGGAACTGCACAAATCCCTGCTGGAGGTTGCTGGCTTGGAATTCTGCCCTCCATTTATTCCCTGACTCGGAGGTCAGGAGCTCTTTCCAAGAGCTGTGCTTTTAGGAACTCTCTAACTAATGTTTTTCATGTTGTTGCATTTAAAGAATAGAGGTGCTGAAGTCTGATATTTTTCCCTGGGAATTATCCTCAAAAAAAAAAAAAAAGTAGACATTTAGTGTGACCTTCATGCCTTGAATTTCTGCCTCATTCAGAGAGAGTTATATATATAATATATATTTAATATATAATATATCAATATATAATATATTAATATATAATATAGTAAATATATAATATATTTAATACATCAAATATATATTATATATTCATATATAATAGATAATATTATAAATATATAATATATATTTATATTTATATATTATAAATATCTAATATTATCTATTATATATTCATATATAATATATTTAATATATTAAATATATATTATATATTTAATATATTAAATATATATTATAGAAATAATATATAGAAATACGTTCATTTTATTATATATTATATATAATAATATATAATATAAATAATATATATTAAAATTTATATTATATATATTATTCTTCTAGTTAGATATTATTATATATTATTAGTCTAGTTTTCTATTATAGTAATAAAAATACATATTATTATTAGGCTGCTCATTTTTCCTGGCTGATCGAGAATCCACCAGGATGTGAAGAACTAATTCTGGGGCTTGAATAGAAATATTATATAAATATATAAATATATAAATATATAAAAATACAAAAATATAAATGTATAAAAATATAAATATATAAAAATATAAATATATAAAATATAAATGGAGTAAATATATGAAATATAAATGGAGTAAATATAACATTTTTTATCTCAGGAGCTTTCAAGCAGCTTGTTCAGCTCAGCTTTCCTTTCCCAGCCAAACCAACCCTGTGTAGATCCATATTAAGCTCCGATATTGTGTCTCTCTCTCCTGGAAATAAAAAATATTGGCTGATGATTTGAGGGCCGATTGATCCCGTGGCCTGTTTGTGCTGGAACAGCTGCAGGGCAGATGTTCTGGATTGGGGTTGGGAACCAAAGTCTGCCCATCAATGCCCCAATATTTATATATTTATATTTATATATTTATATATATTTATATTTTATACATTTATATTTTATATATTTATATTTTTATATTTATATATATTTATATATTTATATATATTTATATTGTATACATTTATATTTATATATTTTTTATTTTATATATTTATCTTTTATATATTTATATATATTTATATAATATTTCTGTTCAAGCCCCAGAATTAGTTCTTCACATCCTGGTGGATTCTCGATCAGCCAGGAAAAATGAGCAGCCTAATAATAATATATATTTTTATTACTATAATAGAAAACTAGAATAATAATATATAATAATATCTAACTAGAAGAATAATATATATAATATATATTTTAATATATATTATTTATATTATATATTATTATATAATAATATATATTAAAATGAATTTATTTCTATATATTATTTCTATAATATATATTTAAGATATTAAATATATATTATATATAACTATATAATAGATAATATTATATATTTATAATATATAACTATAAATATATATGTTTATAATATTGTATATTATATATTAATATAATGTGCTTGGTGTCCTGGGTTATTCCAGGCATGGAAATACAGCCAATATGGAGCTCGTGCTGGGGGGCTGCAGCCCCAAAAAGGAGGATTTGGCACTTCAAAGTGGCTCTTTTCACAAATATTTTATTATTTATCATTCCCCTTGGTCATGGAAATTCTCTTTCCAGGTAAGAAGGGATTTATTGTTTAAATAAACTCGCTTTTCTTAGTGTTTACAGCTGTTATAATAATCAGGGGGTGGCAAAAATCTCTGCAAAGCACCCAAATCAATGAAAACATTGATCAGCAAATTCCTTTCCCAACTGCAAACTGGTTTTTCCAGGAGGAATTCTGGGGCAGGAGCTCATTTCTGAAGGGAAATTGTAGAAACCTGCTGAGAAGACAAACCCTTAATGTTAAATAATAACGGACAGAACATAATTAACATTATTTTGCTTCAGTTGGAAGGGTCAGGACAGTGCAAGGTTTTCCTGCTCTGCCCCAAATTAGGAATTAGTTGGAGCAGCAAGGCTGGAGTGTGGTTTTCAGGATTTTCAGCCCTTGATCTTGGAGCTTTCACTGATACCAGGGGATAATAATAAGTTTTCCCAGCAAGCTGAACTAATCTTATTTTGAAGTTTGAAGCTCTTTGTAAGTGATTTAAGGAAAAAAAAAAAAAAAACAAACAACAAAAAAACCCAAAAAACCATCCGGAAATTAATCATAGGAACTGCTGAGTGATTTTTGTTCTTCAGAAAAAAAACCCCAACTTGCCAAGGGTCACGATACAGGAATTTCAAACACAACCAGTGGGTTTGTATTGAACAAAAATAGTAACAAATTTCAGTTGGTGAAATGAGTCACTAAAGGACTTTTCCCTGACAGTTGGAGGCTTTTTTTTTTTCCCTCACTTTGCTCTGGTTTGAGGCTCTTCTCTGTCCCCAGGTTTGATTTCTAAGGAGGAAGATGATTTTTTCCTAAATCCAGGCTGCTGTTTTTTATCTCAAATAAGAAAGGCTCTTTTCCTAAATCCAGGCTGCTGGTTTTTATCTCAAATAAGACTCTTTTTCCTAAATCCAGGCTTCTGAGCCCAGCATTGTATGGAGCAGAGAACAGGCAGATTTATATATTGACACAGGGTGGGGCTCACCCTGCAGATCAGACGTGATGTGGCGCCTTTGATTTTCAACCAAACAGTCCTTTATTGATTTATTTGTACTTTACATTTCTTTATTTACACGTTTCTTTATTGTAACCAAACATTTAATGCCAGAAACACGGAGCTGGGTGGAGTCACGTGGCAGTTTGAGGAGGAAAAAAAAACCAAGGCTTGGTGCAGGCTGACCGAAATATTCTGTTTAAACTCAGAAGGTCGTTTCTCAGGCAGCTCAGAAATGCAATTTATTAACTTCATTAACGCCTCAGAGCTCGTTAATGCTGCCAGGGGAGAGAAATGAAGTGCAGTGCTGCCTCTCCTGGGTGCCCTGTGCTGCTCCCAGTCCATCCCAGTTCACGTGGAGCCCCTGACTGGGGGTTATCCCTGGTGGTGCCAGGCAGGAACTGCTCCTTGCAATCCCATCGATTTTTTTTTTTTTTTATTTTTTTTTTCAGATCCTGGGTGTGGAATCGTCCCTGCATGGCCCAGTTTGGAACAGGCTGATAAGGCTCCTTGTTTCTTAGCAACCCCAGCTCTGCCACAGCCAGAAACCTGCCCTTCTGCAGCTGGAGGGGAAATTCTGAATGTCTCAAAAGCAAATCTTAAACCCAGGTAAGTCCTTCTTCCTCCCCCCCCACCTTGTGTTTAATTTAAATTTACCTCCAATAAAAGGGATGTGTGTGGGCAAAAGTTCCTTAACAAGGGCAAAGCATAACTTCTGTGTCCTTAAGAAGTCATTTCTTTCCCTGGTTTTATTTAGACCTGTGTCTTTCCTGGGCATGGAGGTGCCATATGTCCTTCTCCTAACACGACTGGTGGCAGAAGTTGCCAGCAAATCCACGCCAAACTCGGTAGGTGCTTGGTGGGTTTTGTCTTCCCAGGTGCTCTAAGACAAGAAGAATTATTTTCCTCTCCTGGTGCAGTTTCTAGAAAGCTGTTTAATTCAGCAGAAATTACCTGTACTGCTCTAAAATGAGCATTAAGTGACACTTTTCCAGTGGCTTGGTTTGCTCTGGTTGCCTTTTAAAGCAGGGAATTCTCCCTGGCCCATGTGCATGTAGGGATGCAACTCCTAAAGCCTCCCAAAAAACACCCTGATGATCAAAAACCCCTACTTTTTAAGCTGCTTGACAGTTTGACTGCAAATAAATAATAAACCAAACCACGGGTACCCAAAAGTTAACTTTGCAAACGACTGAGGAGCTCTGAAGCTTCAAGTCACAGAAGCATAAAATTCTGCTTGAAGGAGGGTTCAACCAACAAACCTTTGGAAGAAACTGGTCTTGGGCATTTTATCTATAAATCTTCTGTTTTTTTCCAGTGTGGAATCACCCTGCTAATTTCATTTTTAACTGTTTGATCTGAGAACTTTGGTCTCTGTCACCTTCCCACTTGATGGTGTTGGCTGAGAAGCACAAGAATATTTGCTGTTGTATATTAGTTATATTTAAGTCACTTCTATGGCTGAATTTAGGGCAGGTCTCGTTACTTTTGACTTTTTTAAGACTGATTTGGAAGCTTAGTGGCTTTTTGTGCAGGTTCAGAGTGTGGATAAACTCAAGCCTCTGGGAGATGTTATTAATATCTATCAAAAGAACCACAGTGTTCCCAACAACCATTTCTCTCTGAGCTTTGTGTCCCAGCTTGCTGTAATTTGTAAATCATTTGGAAGCTGGCTTTTGTATAAACAAATAAAAATGAGCTCCATGCCTGCAGGGTACATGCAGTTTTTCTTTTATATTAAATATTGAAGGAAGAAGCTCTTGCAGTTGTGCTGGGTTGCTCTGAGGTGTTGTCATCACTTGGAATATTCAGTGAAAACTGGGCTTTGCCAGTCATTTTGCCAACAGTTTTTCCCTGTTTGTGGAGCTGTGGGAAGCAGAACTCCCCCTCTGAACTCTCCTTCACTGATGACTTCAGCAATTATATTTCTAAAGCAGTTTTTGGAGGCTTTTCCCAACGTCACAAGCACAGTGTGCTTTGTTTCAGAGTGTTATTAAGGAGCAGCTTCCAGTGGGTTCTGTCCTTGAAAAACTGCTTCATGCAGAAAGAAAAACTTAAATTTTAACTGAGTTGCTGCTTGTTCCTCTCTGTCCCCTGGAGATAATGAATTAATTATTGTTGATGAAGCCTTTTAATAAAGGTGGGAAACACCCTGTGATTTCTTTTCTCAGGTGTCAGAACCAGAATGTTGTGTGGATGTGTTGGATTCCAACAGCTCCTGTCCAGCAACCAACCAGTGCAGTCCAGGTATAAGTTGTTGTTGCTTAATAAAACCATGGAATCATGATTTTATTATTTTATTATTTTTGTTATTTTATTGTTCCCCTGGTTTGAGTGGGAAAAGACCTTAAAGCTCATCCAGTCCCACCCCCTGCCACGAGCAGGGACACCTTCCACCATCCCAGCTTGCTCCAACCTGGCCTTGGGCACTTCCAGGGATAAAAAATTGCCAGTTTTTTAATGTTTTTTTTTTAAATTAACACCAAAGTACCTGATTAACTGGGGAGTAAAAACAAAATAATGAATGCATGCTCACATCAAAGTCTTTCTTCCTCTAACACACACGAGCTAATGCTGCTCATGGCTCACAAATATTGTCCTTTCATGGCTAAAAGGGAATAAAATATTATTGATGAGGTTATTCTTTATTTCTTTTTATTTATTTAATGTGCACTTGGATTATGTAAGAGCTGCTGGAAATGCTTGAAAGCCCTAAAAGCCCATATAATCAGCATAAAGAGCCAAAAATGCTGTAATGTGTATTTAAGGCAGCCTTAAGAACCATTTCAATGGTTTTGTTGACACAAAAAGCCTCATTCTTCCTCCTGCCCTGTGCCTGAAGTTGTTTTCTCCTAAATGGAGTTAAAATCTTCTTTTGTCAGTGAAAGGTGGTCCTTTTTTAATGCCATTTTATTTCAAATCCGGGAGTAAAAGCAGGAAAAATGGCTCCAGAGCCCACAGGAACGAGAGAATTAGTGACTTGAAAATTGGGCTCCACCCTGGGATGGTTCTTTGGGTGTTTTAAGCCAAACTTTATTAACTCCTCTAAGAGTTGCTTCATTTAATACATTAATTTCTGCTTCTAAATGATCTCAGAAACAGGTATCATTAGCTATGGTATAAACAATTGCCTCCAAATTGTGGCATTCTCTTAAATCTTCCTGTAATCTGAGAATCTCCCAATACCTTTGGTGTCACATCAGAGTTTTTACTCCAGAAAGTCTTTGCCTCTCCCTTGTGCTCAGATTAAATATCAGCTGTAATTTGTGATTTTTGGGGCATCAAACCTCGAAGGAAAATGGTTTGGAATCAGCACCTTACCAGTGGTTTTGCCTTAGGGGATAATTGATACCAATTTTTGGCTCCAGGCTCTTCCAGAACTGGATTTTTAACCAGCAACAGGAAGAAAAAAAAAACTTTATTAGGGCAGGATTTGGATTTTAACTTCCAGCATTTTTTCCCACCCTTTCTGGTTCTTGGCATGTTGTCCCTGCCTATTGTATTTCCAATATTATATATATTAAAAATATCATTTAATTTTGTTTCTGTGACCTCTAAAAAGTAAAATGACTCTTTTTTTTTTTAGTATTCTTGAGTGTTACTTATAATTTTTTAGGCATTTCCCATCTTGCTGCAAACTCCACCACGGGAAGCAGGGAATGGAGTGGGGTTGGAATTACCTTTGGGGAGTTGTTTGCTTGTAACTCTCCCTCCTTTTTCCCCCCTTTTTTTCTGGAATGAAGGCTTTGAAATGAAAATAATCCAATAAAAATGAAATTAAATGAATAATGCAAACAATTGTGATAGATTAGGAAGCAGGAGGTGCCTGTAACCAGCGGAGCAGAGGGAATTTCTGCCTCTTTTGGGGAAGAAATAACCCAAAAAGTGGGAAAAAAATTTGCCTCCAGTGTTGCTTTTGTGGTTTTCATGCCTCTGTACCTGCTGTTCCCCTGCAGGTTGTTACAGGAGATGGAATGAGGACGGAAGCAGCAGCTGCATTAAATGCAAAAATGAAACCCTGCCTGTTTTCTCTGTTTACAACCTGACCGAGTGCAGAACTAGTGAGTCATTTATCAGCCCTTTATTCTGGTTTTTTCTAGCCCTGCCATCTCTTCTTTGGCCCAGCAAAGACTCTCCAAGAGTCAAATCCTGCAGATTTTTATTCCCCTTCCTTTATCAAACTTTTCCAAAGTGACTTTGAGCTTTTGAACGTGCAACAAAACCTGTAGGAACTTGGAAATTCAGCGTAAAGAAGCTGCAGAGTGATGTGGAATCATTCTGTGAGGGGGGGAAAAAAACCCCTTCCAAGTCTTGTTGTGCAAAAGCAAATGTGGCATGAAATAAAAATGATGAAATGAAACAGTCCTGAACACTGAAATGATTAAACTCCCTAAGCAGGATCAGTGGCAGACACCCAGTGAATGCTGAATTTGGGGGCAACTTTCATCTGCACTACAAGAAAAAGGCATTTGCTGGGGGTGTTTGCCAGCATTTCTCTCCAGAGCACAAAACAGCTCAGACTGTGCTTGAGTTCTTTGAAAAAAAAAATCTATATTAAGGAGCCTGGATTTCATTTTGTGTCTGAGCTTTGTTGGAGAGGTGAGAACCATCCAATTCCTGGTCAATAAGTTTAATGAAAGGAGCTCAGAAACTTGGTCTGAGTTCCTGGGAAATGCAGCAGTGAATTCTTTTCTTTTCTTTTTTATTATTTGACAAATTTTGATGATGTTTTTTGCTTTTTTTCCCAAAAAAGAATTCAAAAGTGATATATATAAAGTGAAATTCAATCAGGATTCCTGTACAACCTCAAATTGTATTTCCAATATTATACATATATAACCTCAAATAATTCCTGAGCAGTTAATAGCCTTTTACTAAGGTTTTCAACACATCTGTAGTTTTTATGTTTGCCTTTAAAAACATTCTTTTTTAATTGCAGCTGGGAGCAGAGAGATGAATTTCCAGATGAACATAAGCACTGTAACTCCTTTCCTACAGAGCATAGGTGAGTAAATGATTTTGTGATTATTCCCCATGTACCAGCAAGTTGTAAAAACAGGTTTTATTTCATTATTAGCTTTTATTTCTCGAACAAGGTTTATTCTAAGTGGAGTAGAATTTTTTTAACCTTTCCTGCCTTATTCTCAACAAGAATCTTTTCTAAAGATTCTGATAAATCTGAGTTGAATTTTAAGGGAATTCTTTTGCTGAGTGGTTCTTTCCCCTTGGGATCTACAAGGGATTTTCTGGTGCAGCTTGAGCTGGTTTATGAAACCAAAAAACTGAGTTTTGAACGTCTATGCTGCAAGATTTTGGGGTTTTAGGGCTGAGGCAACATGTGACACATCTGCATCTCACTGAGCCTTTCTCTTGGTTGGTTTTATCACAGTTTAAGCTCCTAAAAACACTTGGACACTGGTAAGAAGAACACAAATTGAGAATATTTCGGCAGCAAGAGACTGGATAAAGTGATTTAAGTGTTAGAATTGGTTCAGTGTTTCCCAGAAGGCAAAGCTCCACAGCCCTGGTGAACGTGGCAGCTGCTGATCCCTTCCTAATTCATCTTTTCGTGTCTATATTCTCAATTTGAGGCATTAATTGCCCTTCAGAACGGGGACTTCTCAAGCAGAGAATGAATATCAGGAAGTTGGTCTTTTATCTGTTGTTTAACCCTTTTATTAGAAGGCATTTCTGATGAATACCAGTGTTTTCTCTCTCTTTATAATGTGGTTTTTTTTGCACAGGGGGCCCAGAAGTGGCAGCTTCCCTCATCTTAGGGACATTTTTCATCAGTTTGTTCCTGATTCTCTCTGTTGCTTCTTTCTTCTACCTCAAACGTGCCAATAAACTTCCCAACATTTTCTACAGAAGGAACAAAGGTAAGATTGTCCATTGTCTATTAAATCCCTAAATGAACTTTGCTTGATTGAATGTGCTATCATTTGATATAAAATTTCACTCCAGTAGCTCTCTGAGTCTGAACTGATCAAGAACCCGTAATATCCTTGAAGGATTGAGATCTCTGAGTTGCTTTTCCAAGGAAATTTAGTCAGCACCAGGTTCTCCTTCAGTTTTTAGGGGCTCAGGAGCTGGTTTATGACATTTCTAAGCTGGCAGGACACCAGACCTCTGATGCTGCAGTGCCTGTGGTCTGACTTCCCTCTTTTGGGCTGATAATTCCCCCTGATCCAGCAGGATAAAGCCTTAATGTCCTTCTCTGAGGGGGGGAAAACCTTAACAAACATTCCCCTGGCTGATTCTCAGCTTCCCTTCTGTCTGGAGGATGATTATCACCCCTCTGGCTAAAGGGGTTCACATTTTTATTTGTCCTTTTATTTTTTCCTGGCTCCAAGTGACATTTTTCCCTGTCAAAGAGGCTGCTGAGGTTTCCTCCTTTGGAAGCAAAATAAGTCCCTCTTGAAGACTTTACAACCCTTTATCTAAATCTTGAAGAGAGTCCTACACCCAGTGTGTTCCCCTGATGGATTTTCTGACTGTCCTGCTCTGCTTTGGTGGGTTTTTGTGACAAAACTCTTTTTTTTTAGCCATAAAACTATTCCATGCATGAGTGTATTTTTGGAAAAACAACAGTTCCAGCCTTTTAGATTAATGAGGGTTAATCTCTCTCTTTCTCTCTCTTTTAGCATCTGTTCTCCAGCCTAGTGAAACAGTAAGTGAATTCTCTTCTTCCAACAGGAACAAGCAAATAAAGCATCAACCACACAATAATTTAAATTTTAACAGCTCGTTAATGAGCTCCTTAACCTGATGGGTGAGACTGAAATAAATAGAAAAGATGTTTTGGGGGTTATTTGTCCAAACTGAGGTGAAAATGAATACAGACCATCTGGATTTCTGGCTTCTACTGAGTGATTCTTTTTTTCCCAAGAAAAACCATACCCAGTAAATACTGAAACTCTGAAATGTTGCTGTGGGATTTTGGGTTTTTTTTGAATGAAAGACTGTGAAAAGGTGCTTTGTTTGACATGATGATTCTCCTGTTCTCTGCAGGCATCCATGATACCTCCCCCAGCTTCTTCAGGTGAGGAACTGCTGCCTGGGATGCTAAAAAGCAGGGAAACTTCTCTGCTCCGAGTGGGAATGCTGAGAATACCCAGCAATATATCAAAATAACCATTTCTAAAGCTGGTTTACAACTGGTGGAATCTGTGGTGGGGACAGAAATCCAATGAGATCTGTCCAGTGAGGCCTTTTGGGATGGGATTGATTGCTTTAATTAACACAGGCACCAGGAGTGATGGAGCACTTGATGTGAAAATAGATCTGTGACTGCTCCTAAAATAGATCTTCCACTCCTCTGTCCTCACAGAGAGGAGTCTTACAAGGAGATGCACTATTTTTTCATAAGTAAATTATTCAGTCTGGGGTTTATTTTCAGGATTAGATTCCTCCTGACAATGCCAGGTTGGCTCATTTTCAGCCTTGCTGGTTTGAAAATTTCTCAGCTTCTTGAAAAACAACTTTACACAGTCTGCTTAGAACACTCTATTTTGGGGGGTTTTTGGTATTTTGGGCTCTTTTGGGCAAGGTGTGATGTTTAATACCTGCAGAAATTAATTTCTCAGGGAAGATTTCGTCTAATCAAGATGGTATGATTAAAATTGAATTTTTTTTTAATGCAGTTCTTTAACTTTCAGATGTTTTGAGATGTGTTCCAGGCTCGGGCTGGCTGTTAAACTGACAGTGCTGCTCGTGGAAAGTCTTGGCTTCTTTGCCTTTAATTTATCCATCTGAGGAAGTCCAGTTGTCAGGGAGTTTTAGGGCTGAAAATGGAAAGCTCCATGTACTGCAAACACTTAAAATAATAGGAATAATAAAATAATAGGAGTGCCAGTTTATCCTGAGCATCTGGTTTTCTGGGCCATTGGGAGCTCATTTAAAAAGTTGATTTGTGGGCTTTTGCTGTGACAACTCTGTGTAGGGGTTTTTTTTTGTGGTCTGGTTTTGTTGGGGGTTTTTTGAAGTCCAGAATTACTTTGATCACTGAGGAATTAGGAATTCACAGGATCACTGAGGTTGGAAAAGAGCTCCAAGATCAGAGCCCACCCTGTGCCCAATCCCCACCTTGTCCCCCAGCCCTGAGTGCCACATCCAGTCCTTCCTGGGACACCTCCAGGGATTGGGACTCCACCACCCCCCTGGGCAGCCCCTTCCAGTGCCTGACCACCCTTTCCATGAGGGAATTAGGGATAAAGGCACGTTCCTGAGCAGGTGCTGACGATGTTTCTGTGCCTTTCAGTTCGGAAGCCGCGATACGTCCGCCGGGAACGGTCCCTGGTCACCTCCACGTCTGCTGCCATCATCTCCTCCTCCGAAACCAGGGTCAGCAATGTTTAACCTTCCCTCCTGACAGAGGACCTTAACCATTTGTGGTGTCAAAGAACCTTTTTCTGAACCCACTGAAGTGCCAGGAAAACGTTGCAAGCAGCTGACCCCGACCAGAAACCAAATTCCCGTGTCCGAGGGTTTGTGCCAAACGTCCTCCCGGGGATGAGCTGCTGGAGGTGACACCCAGTTCCAGGAACTCCTCTGCAATGCACTATTCCAGCTCTGTGGGCTCCTTTCTCTCCTGCAGGTGCTGTGTTTGAAACCTTTAAAGAGTCTGCCTTTCTTTGGAACACTCTGTTCTGGCAAGTTCTTCTCCCTGTGCTGTGACGTGTCCCTGTGTCCCCAGGGCAGGCTGGCTCAGTGCTGCAGGCCAGCCCAAAATCCCGGGATTACTCAAGGCTGTGGATTTGAGGAAGGGAGCCACTTGTAGATGGGAACACTTAAGTGCCACTCCTTTAACTATATAACAATAATTAACATGCAGAATCCTTTGGAAGCAAAAAAATGGTGCCTGTGGAGCATCTTCTGCCACAGCTGAGCCTGAGTTTAACTGTGACTGTGGAGCCACCCTCCTGATCCTGCTGCTCCTGGTGCTTTGGAAGGCCATGGTCAATATGGGCCCAATCCCAAGGGGGGGAATTTTGGGGGGAAGTTTTCTCAGCTGATTTCAGCTCAGTGCTGTTTGCTGGGGGTTTGTAAACGAGAGGCTGCAAAGTCCGTCCCTGCTGGGACAACCTGGGAGCCCAAAATTCCTGCAGGACAGTTGTCAGTGAGGGTTGGGATGAGCTGGAGAGGTCAGGGGAACTTCTGCCAATGCAATAAAGGGGTTTCTGTGGTCGAGCCCTTCTCTAACACACCTGAAATGTTCAGGCCAGCACCTTAGGACAGAGCTCAGCGGGGATTTCCTTGTTCCAACACCAGCCTAAACCCCCCCTTTCCCACTCTGGATTTGTTCCTGCCCTCTCCATGTGCCTGAGGAGTCGCTCCTGCAGGGAATTAAAGGAGCTGTAAAATCACTTTTTTTTTCCTGCCTGGCTTCTCCTTCCCAAGTTCTTTTCCTGGCAGGGGTGACTGTTACCATGTGAACACATCCTGGGCATACTGGGACGGGCATGAGAGTGGGTGACTGGGAAATGAGGGGGAAAAAAAGAGGTTGCTGAAGTGGTGGAAGTGTCACTGTCACCTTCTGTGAGTTCTATCTATGCAGCCTGTGCCTCCCCACCTACCTGTGTTGCTGTTGCCTCTTTTGGTGGAGCTGCCACTCCATTCTGGCTCTGTGCTCCTAAAATAAATCCTTTGGAAGCTCTTCCTCAGCATCCCCTGGCAGGAATGGGAACTGGAACAGTTGGTTCTCTTTTTTTGGGAAAATGAGAACAAAATTGCCTTGATCTGACGTGTCACCCATATGGAGAGCCCAGAACTTGTGATCCACGTTCCCTCTTCTCTGGGGTTTAAAACCTTCTTCCAAGAGGAGAACTGAGGTGGGAGCAGATGAATTTATCTTATGGAATAGACCCATTTTCTGGAAGTTTCAGTGCTTTTGTATCTTCCCCTCACAGGTAAGGAGATCCTTGTAAAATCTACAGGGATTAAAAAAAAAAAAAAAAAAATCATTAAGAGGTTCCTGTGCCAAAAACCAAAAAAAAAAAAAAAAAAGCCTGAAACTTCACATTGTCTTTCTATGATGATGATAAATAAAATTATTGACCTACTGGACAGGTAATGGCATTTTGAGAGCCGTCAGCTTTCCATGGGAAATGTGCTTTATACCTTTTTATTTGGGATGTTCCCAAGTTCCAGAGGTTCAGGAGGTGGCACTTTTGTCTCTGTCATTTCAATGTCTTTTTGTCTTCGTGCTGCTGAGATTGTCCCACAGGCAGAAATCATGTCTTAGAGGTCACAGAGCTTTTCCCTGAACTTAGTTGCTGAATATTTTCCTAATGGCTTGGGAAAAGGAGTAACTATGCAAATAATGCCAAGAAACTGCACCTTTGGAAGCAGGGAATTTGTGAACCTGTCCGTGGCAGTGCATTCTTGTGTTGCTTGGTTGCTGATATATTCTTTTTACCCAGAAATTATTGAAGGATCAGGTCACTGGACTGTCTGAACCCTCTTTCTCCTTGAGTGCATGTTGTAACTTGGTTTCATGTCGAGTGTCTAAAGCTCTCATTCTGTTTTTCTCACCTCTCTTACACCCAGACTTTTAACTCCAGCAGAGATTTGTACAGTTTTCTGTGTTTCAGGAACTGTTCAGCTGTTGTTGTTGCTGCCTAACCCAGTGAATTCCTGCTCCAAACAGTTTGTTTGCACTGTCAAATTAAATATATAACGTGGTGGTTTGGTTCCCCATCTCCCTGGAAAATAATAATGCACACCCAGATGTGTTTTAAAACATTGGCTTTAATGATCCCTGATATTTAATGTATTTGTATATTTTTAACTGTGTGCCAAAATAAACATATTTGAGCTTTTTTTTTTTAAAATATTATTTTAATGGCTGTGGAGCTCATTCATGTGTTTCCTTTTTAAGCACAGAATGAAGGGAGCAACATTAGCACCCAAAGCAGATCGTGGTTGCAGCTCATCTGGCTTGTTACTTCCACCAGAACTGAAGCTAAAATAAACAAGGAAACAGTTTGGTGACTGTTCCTGCCCAGTTTTACAGAGGGATGGTCAGGCTGTGTTGGAGAAATTGTATTTTCACACCTTAAAACCCTCAAAAAGCCACCTGTGATGGCCTTACCTGTAGGAACTCAACTTCACCTTTGGTAAATGACAGTTTTCACGTGAGTATGTGTTTTCCTCAGTCTCCTTCAGAGAGCAGAAGGAGCAAGAAAACTCTAAAAGAAGCCCTTAACAGGGACAAAGATGCCAGGAATTGGGATAATCAGGACTAACAGGGACAAAGGTGCCAGGAATTGGGATAATCAGGACAATTTCTTAGCAATTGAAACTAAGATTATGGCCTGGGGTTTGGGAAGGTTTATGAATTCATCTGATTTATGAATCGTTTTTAAAAGTGATTTTTTCATTTTTGTTTTCCCCCCTTTCCCTTCCCTCCCTCCTTGGGAATTTGAGACTCCTGTTGGACTTCCTGAGTTGCCAAAATAATCCAGGCAGTGAGGGCAGAATGCAGGGAAACAGGGAGGGGATGCTCTGAAACACCAGTGGTTAAACTCAGCAGTGCTCTTTTCCCTCCCAAACTGCCCAAAATGGGCTGATTTCTGAGGAAAATCCTGCCTGGAATGGGCTGATTTCTGAGGAAAATCCTGCCTGGAATGGGCTGATTTCTGAGGAAAATCCTACTCCCAAAATTTCCCTTCTTCCCTTGGACTTTCTTTTGGGGGATTCAACCTCTCTGGTTGGGTGTTGTCTTTGCATCCTTCTGGCTTTACAAAACACGGTTATTCCTGCCCTAAAACAGCCCTGGGGCTTTCCCAGTCCTAACCAAGCACATCCTGCTGACTGGAAACCTTTTAAAACTTATTTATTTTGGCAATCCTCGGCCTGAAAGGGCTGGGATTTTTTTTTTTTTATGTTTCACAGAAGTAGGAAGACGGGTTTTTGAGCACAATAAAAACAGGGGTGATGTTTTCTTAAGAACCTCCCTGGGAAGTTCAGTCAAGCCCAGGGCTGATCAGGGTTTCCTGGTGGAAAATAAAGGGTTTCCTGGTGGAAATCTAAAGTCTGGCTTAGAGAACATAATGCTCTAACTCCTTGACCAGGCTTGACATTCTTGACTTGGAAGATGAAAAGTGAAAAAGTGGTTAAAAAGAGAAAAAATACTTAAAGGAGGAGGAGTAATTCCTGCTGCAAAATTACAACTGCAGGAGAGTTTACTTTTGTTTTTTTTCTCGTTTTGGGGAGGCAGAAACAGCTGAACTCCCCAGTTCCAGGGGCTGTATCAGTGAATCCTTCAGATATCAACGTTTGAGGTGAAGGGGAGGTGGCCGGTTAAAGATAATTAATGTGAAATTTAGAAGAAATGGGGAAAAAAATCCCTGGCACCTGCTCTGGGTGTCCTGACGGAGCTGGAAGGCTGGTTCATGATCTTTTCTTGGATGAAACCCTTTCCTTGCCTTTCCCCTTCCCTGGAGTTGAGCTGAAGGCTCTACCATTCTTCCCAGCCCGTCAATCAAGCAGCTTTTTAGCTGCTGTAAATGAGCATCCTTTTGTTAATTACTTTTGCCCCAATTTCCGAGGAGGATGGCAAAGATTCCACCTCAGTTAATTGCCTGATAGAGCTGGGTGTGCTCTGAACCACACACTGCTGAAAACCTTGGGAGCATTGGCTTTTTTCTTTTTTTTTCTCTCCTTTTTATTTAAGAATAATTAAAAAAAATAATTCCACTGCAGTACAATTTAACAGAAGCCCTGTTAAAAAATTTTTTAAAAAAATGAACTACCTGGAGAACCCAAGAAATTCCAAATTGCTCCAGCCTGAGTGCTCCTATTGTAGCCCTGCTCTCATCATGTGGGAGACATTATAATTGTTATCTCTGGAGAGGCATCAGCTTTAAGTTGCTCTCCACAATAATCTTCCTTTCTTTGTGTGTTGTATCAGTTCAGTTTTATCATTTTAACAGGGAGAGAGCTTGGGCTGAGCAGGTTCAACCTTGAACAATTCACTGGAGAACAAAAGGGCAGCTTTGTTTCCACGCTCGCTGAGGGCACGTGGAGGGCTTGGGAGGGGGATTTTCCCGGGGAGTTGGAGTTCCTGGAGAAGTGCTGAAGTCTGGGATAGAGATTCCTCATGGGAGGAAGGACTCTGGAGCTGATCTCCCACGAGCTGGAGAGTGAGAGATGTGATTCCTGGATCAGCCTCCCAGGACCTGTGGGGTTTAGGTTCAATCCTAACTGCTCTGTGTGTGTGTGGGATGTGGGATCTGCACTTTCTGATTATGGGATGTCAGGAAGTGCAATGGAAATAGGGAATTCAGGCACCACTGGAAGCTCAGGGAGTGAGGAGTCAATGGGATGAGCTGCAGGCTGAGTGTCCCCTGCCTGGGAGCTCCTGCACCTGGGACATTTCATGGAATCATGGAATGATTTGGGTTGGAAGGGACCTTAAAGATCATCCCATTCCACCCCCTGCCATGGGCAGGGACACCTTCCACTAGCCCAGGTTGCTCCAACCTGGCCTTGGACACTTCCAGGGATCCAGGGGCAGCCACAGCTTCTCTGGGCAACCTGTGCCAGGGCCTCCCACCCTCCCAGGTAAGGATTCCTTCCCAATATCCATCTAAACCTCCTCTCTGTCACTTTGAAGCCATTCCCCTTCTTCCTGTCCCTCCATCCCTTGGAAACAGTCTCTCTCCATCTTTCCTGTCGCTCCTTCAGACCCTGCAAAGCCACAATCAGGTCCCCCCAAAAAGCTTCTCTTCTCCAGGCTGAACAATCCCAACTCTCCCAGCCCTTTCTCCATCCCTTGGATCATCCTGATGCCTCCTCTGGACTGGCTCCAACAGCTCCATGTCCTTCTGGAAGCCCAGAGCTGGAGGCAGAGTCTGAGTCCTGTTTGACCTGCCTGGGAATGCTGGAGAAAGAGCCTGAGCAACAGGGATTTATCCTGGATTTATCCCTAAAGGAGAGAGCTGAGTGGGAGAGGAAAACAACAGGAGCATTAGTTCCCCCCAGGGAGCCAGGTCACCCAGGGAACACCTCAGAGGTGGAGCTGGAGTTCCTGGAGAAGTGCTGAGGTCTGGGATAGAGATTCCTGATGGGAGGAAGGACTCTGGGGCTGATCTCCCATGGCAGGAGAGCTGGAGAGGGAGAGATGTGACCCCTGGATCAGCCTCCCAGGACCTGTGGGGTTTAGGTTCAAACCTGGTTTAACATTTAACTCTTCTGAGACCCAAAGCAGGTTTTACTCTCCATCCTCTGAAGGGCAGAGAACCCCTTGTTTGGGAGATGCTGCAGCCCAAATTCCCACTGGAATTCCCACATCAGCTCTGATGAGGCCACTTGGTGTGACTTAGAAGGGATGTGACGTGCCAGTTTTATTATTGTACCCCTCC